CCGTGAGGGAAGGAGTTAGAAAGAAGGAAAGCATAGTGAATTACTACCTATGTCCCTCGGAAAGTTTATCCCTTTTGTAGTATTCTTGCATTACTGTTGTTGTTCAGTCGCTCAGTTGTGTCTGACTCTTTGTGACCCCATGGACTGCAGCACGCTGGGCTTCCCTGTCCTTCACTATCTCCCAGAGTTCGCTCAAACTCATATCCATTGGGTCAACGATGATGCATTACTGAGGTTACTGATTCATTTTCTAGGAGTTGATAAAGCAAAAGAATGCCTTGCTGTAGGTTATATAATTTGGACTCTGTTACATTTATCTTGGTGTGTCCCTCTTGTAACAACTCCCAATACTCAGCAAGCTTGTTTTTTATATATTTGCTTCCTTGTACATTCTTACTACATATTTTTGACTTCAAAAGTACACCTTTAGAACTGTTTCAAAGCCAATAATGATACATGCTTTAGATAATTATTATTATAAATATAACTATATAATCTTGAATTCAAATAAATTTCTATTCTGATAATAAAAAGAAAACATATGGTCACACAAATTTGTCCATGAATGTCCACAGCACCAATGTACAAAGTGGGTAAAAATGTAAAAACAATTCAAATGTTCTTCAACTAATGAATGGATAACTAAATGTGGTATAGCCAAGGAGTGGCATACTAGTCAGTACTTCCTTCATAAAAAGGAATGAAGATTCATAGTACATCACGGGTGAACCTTGAAAATATTATGCTAAGTGAAAGAAGCCAGTCACAATACGTCACATATTATACAATTTTCCATTTGTATGAAATGTTTAGAATAAGACAATTTATAGCAGAACAGTAATTAGTGGTTGCTTAGGGCTTGAGTAAAATGAGGGAGAGGTAAGGAGACAAATGAGGATTCACTATTAATGGGTATAAATTATTTTAAGGGGGACCAAATGTTCTAAAATTCGATAATAGCTCACGATTCGCTAAAAACCATTGACTGTACACTTTAAATGGGTGAATTGTATGGTATATGAACTATATTTCAATAAAGCTACTTTAAATAAGAGAGAGTTTTCGAATTTCCCCGGTGGTCCAGTGGTTAAGAGTCCATCTTGCAATGAAGAGGAAACAAGTTCAATCGCTGGTCGGTGAACTAAGACCCCACATATTGCAGGGGGACTAAGCCCACATACTGCAACTACTGAAGCCTGTGTGTCTAGAGCCCGTGCTCCACAACAAGAGAAGCCACTGCAATGAGAAGCCCGGGCACCACAGTGAAGACTAGCCCCCACTTGCCACAACTAGAGAAAACCCGTGCGCAGCAACAAAGACCCAGCGCAACCAAAAAGAATACAATAAATAAATTAGAAACTCTAAGAGGAATCATGTTCATAGAGACATATCCATAATTTCTCTCAAACTCAATGATCTTTCAAGAAAGAAAAAAATCAGATATAAATTGCCTTTAAAAAAAGTTATAATTCATCTTAAATACTTAGTACAAGCCTGATATAAAAATATATCAAAATGTACTATGGTTATGCAAAACATAGTATTGTATGTCAAGTGTATTTCAATAAAATATATAGCAAAAACTTTTAATTAAAAAATTAAAAATCTATCAATTTTAGTTCAAGACAATAAACTCAGCATAAGATCTATCTTCATATTTTAGTACCTCACAAATTGGGGATGTAATATTTTCATTATGGTTTGGTTTAAAATATTTTATTTCCATACTGTTTTATTCTTTGACTCAGATTTATTTGGAAGACTTGCTTTTTTAACTTCCACATATATGTTTGTTTTGTTGAACGCACACAAGCTCATGTGTCCAACACACAGTGAAGGCCAAACAAACCAGAACATTGGAGTTTGGAACAGAGAAAGGTATGTTGCTGAACTGAGCAAGGAGAATTGGTGGTTAGTGTTCAAAAAACCCAAACTTTTGTGATAGGTTTTGGAGAGGAGTTTTTACAAGCAAAATTGGGGGCTAGGCCTGCAGGGCACGTGACTTTCTTCTGATTGGTTGGTGGTGAGGTAACAGTATGGTATTGCAGGAATGTTGTGCTCAGAAGTTACCATTCTTTACCTGGTTGGGGGGCTTATTTCCCATAGAAAAACTAAAAATAAATTGCTGTGTATTTCCCTTGAGAAGAAACCAGGGCTCTGCTTTATGACTGCACTATTGTTTTTTGACAGTTCCTCCTTTGTTTCTGCATTCTCTCTCTTCCCTGATTAGTAACTATTTGAATCTGCCCTTTGTGGACTATAGCCCATCAGGCTCCTCTATCCATGGGATTTTCCAGGCAAGAGTACTGGAGTGGGTTGCCATTTCCTTCTCCAGGGGATCTTCCCCACCCAGGGATCGAACCCGGGTCTCCAGCATTGCAGACAGACGCTTTACCATCTGAGCCACCAGGAAGCCCTTGGAATTCAGGGAAGGTCTAGGAAGCTGAGGGCTTCCCAGGTGGCACTAGTGGTAAAGAACCCACCTGCCAGTGCAGGAGGCATAAGAGATGCAGGTTCGATCCCTGGGTTGGGAAGATTCCCTGGAGGAGGGCACAACAACCCACTCCAGTATTCTTGCCTGGAGAATCCCATGGACAGAGGAGCCTGGAGAGCTACAGTCCCTAGGGTCACAGAGAGTGGGACATGACAGAAGTGATTTAACACATATGCTAGGAAGTTGAATCCGGTTTCCTACAAACAAGAAAAGGGAAAAAAAAGAAAAGGGGACGAGGAAAAGGCTTGTGGGGCCTTCACAGGTACACGTGAAAGCCCCACAGGGCCCGCTCAGTTTCATTTGTATTTATATTTTACACTGTAGTCAAAGAATACAGTATGTATTACACAACTCTCTGAAGTTTGAATTACATTCGTTGAGACTGATCTTTAAAATGTTTTACGTATGCTTAAGAGGGATAAGTAGTTTTTACTTTGGGTGAATGGTTCTACATATGTTTATTAAATCAAGCTTGTTAAGTGGGTTACTAAAAAAAAAACTGAGGCCATTGCAGCAGTCCAGTTAAGAGATGATGGTAGGCTAGGAGCAGAGAAGATGAAGAGAAGTGTAGGGATTCCAGATTTATTTGGGAAACAAAACAGACCCATCCTGATGTTGGAGGGGGATGGGAGGAATGTAGAGGATATAAGGATGACTTTCTTGGTTTCTTGTTTATGCAATTTGCCAGATGGCAGATACATGAAATTTTAAAAAAGCTTTTTTTTTTTTTAAGTTCTACCAGTTTATTGCTAACCCATCTCCCTCCACCCTCATGCATGCATGCTCAGTCATGTAACTCCATGGACTGTAGCCGCCAGGCTCCTCTGTTCATGGACTTTTCCAGGCAAGAATACTGGAGTGGGTTGCCAAGATATATGAAATTGAGATAGGGAATTCTAGGAGAGATTAGACATCTATATTTCCCCCAAGAATGTTTCTTTGCTTTCTATGGGGGCCAACAGGGCAGTGGCGAATATTGAGGCTGTGGGTGAGAGCAGCTCCTGCCATTCCTTAAGCCCTCTGCGTATGCATGTGTATCTGTACAACACATCACAGTACGGTAAATCCCCTAGGTAAGAATAAGTTCCATTCCGAGAGTGTGTTCATAAGTCCAGTTTGTTTGTAAGTTCAACAAAGTTAGCCTGGTTACCTAACTAACTTTGGCTATATAGGCTAACACAATAGGCTATATATTTGTTCTTCAGTTGCTAAGTCACATTCCACTCTTTGTGACCCCATAGACTGCAGCACACCAGGCTTCCCTGTTCTTCACTATCTCCCGGAGTTTGCTCAAACTCATGTCCATTGAGTCGGTGATGCCATCCAACATCTCGCCCTCTTCTCCTGCTGTCAATCTTTCCCAGCATCAGGGTGTCTTCCAATGAGTCGGCTCTTTGCATCAGGTGGCCACAGTATTTCAGCTTCAGCATCAGTCCTTTCAATGAATATTCAAGGTTGATTTCCTTTAGGATTGACTGGTTTGATCTCCTTGCAGTCCAAGGGACTCTCAAGAGCGTTCTCTAGGACCACAATTGGAAAACATCAATTCTTCAGCCTTCTTTATGGTCCAACTCTCACATCCATACATGCTGCTGCTGCTGCTAAGTCGCTTCAGTCGTGTCCGAGTCTGTGCGACCCCACAGACAGCAGCCCACCAGGCTCCCCCGTCCCTGGGATTCTCCAGGCAAGAGCACTGGAGTGGGTTGCCATTTCCTTCTCCAATGCATGAAAGTGAAAAATGAAAGTGAAGTCGCTCGACTCTTCGAGACCCCATGGACTGCAGCCTACCGAGCTTCTCCGTCCATAGGATTTTCTAGGCAAGAGTACTGGAGTGGGGTGCCATTGCCTTCTCCGATCCATACATCATGACTATAGGAAAAACCATAGCTTTGACCATACGGGACCTTAGTCAGCAGAGTGATGTCTCTGTACTGTAATAGGTTTATAATACTTTTCACACAAATAATACATACAAAAAACAAGGAAAATAAATGTGATCTTAAAGTGCCTTGAAAACTATAGTAGTACAGTACAGCTGGCATACAGTAGTATAACAGCTGACATACAGGAACTGGCATCAAGAGAACAGAAGAAAAATTACTAGCTGGAGGAGGGAGAAGAGGTGGCAGAGGGTAGAGCGGAGGGATTCGTCAGCGATAGGAGACAGGGAGCAAGCTGCATGTGACAATGTACGTCGGCCCCGTGAACCAACTTACCTAATTGGACACGTGAACACACGCACATTCACATCTTCGAAAGTTCACAACTTGAACATAAATTCATATTGGAAGGGTGTGACACCCACTAGACTAACAGCTCAGAAGTCAAGGGTCGAATTTCCTCTAGGCACTTGGGGACCTCGCCCAGAAACTGCCCCTGCCCTCTCAGAGTGTACATTTCTCCGAGCCCCGCCCACGGGGATTTCCGGCTGTCCTTTTGCACCCGCCTCTCCCTGAAGCCCTTGGCTCCGCCCCTACTGCAACCATTGCCTTCTAGCCTGGAGGGGAATGGAGTGATTGACGAGCACGTTCTCCAATCCTAACGCAGAATGAACACATATTGCCAATTAGACGGTAGCAGGGGCGGATGCTGAAGCCTACGGTGGGAGGGTTACCAGGAAGTGAGTGGAGGCTAAGAAGGACGAGTCCGCGCCGGCAGTGGTGTAAGGGTGACCGGACATCTAGATACCCCAGTCTCCTTCTTTCTCCATTCCTGGGTGAGGAGTCCCTTCACAGCTGGGAGTCAGGATCTCTATTTGCCCTTTTGAATTGGGGGGGGGGGTGTCTACTATGTAAGCATTTGAGGATCTTTCCTGATCTTCCTACCTCCTTTCGCCCCAAGTCAGTTCCTTCTCTTAGCCTGGGGTGGGAGTCTTGTCCCCCGTCACTCTCCGCCGGGAGCGGTAAAGTGTTTAAGGTCTTTCCGCAGCCTCTGGGTGCTTAAAGTCTTCCGGACTCGGTCACGAAAAGGCAGATGAATCAATAGGGATTTAGGTTTAGGGAGATTCACGGACTCAGCCTCTCTCGCGAGGAGTTAGAAGCCTCCTGCCGCGGCCAGCGCTAGTGGAAGGTGGAGGGTCTCTGGGAGCTAGGTTCCTGTGGCTAGGGAACTAGGGATAGAATTAAATATTGGAGGCGAAGGAATGGGTGGAAAGAAACCTTTCTTCCGTGGAGGTCGTAGAAGTTCTCTAAGGGACTGCATAGAGTGGAGCCAGAGTCGTTGGAGTTGGGCTTGGGGCTTGGTCTCTAAACCCCCCACCCACTTCTGGGTCATCAGCTATTTGCCTTCATTTCTTTCTCAGGCTGAAGGAAACATCTGAATATGTGGAATCCCAATGCCGGTAGGTGTTTGGGGGATCGCTTCTCTTGCCCCAACCCCTTTTCAGATGGACCACAACAGGAGGTTTCTGTGTCAGTTTATCCTCCTCCTCTCCACTAACCCGCAAAAGCAAAGTCCTTAGTCGCTGACCCATCCTCTCGTCTTTTCCCGGAGTTCACTGTCTCCGTTTCTCCCCCGCCCTGCCAGGGACCTTCCCTTTTGTCTCCTGTAAGTTTGCCTCCCCTTCCCTTCATTCTCTTTCCTCACCTTCCCATTTGTCTTTAACTGTTGAGTTGTTTTTTTTTTTTTTTTTTTGAGTGATTCTTTTTGTTGTTGTTTGTTGTCAGAGGCTCTGGGAAGTGTAATCTTAATTTATTCTTTGTTTCTTCCACCAGGGCAGCCAGGACCATATCCACACCCCCCTAACGCCGGGTATCCTGGAGGTTGCAATCCTGCCCATCCGCCACCTGCCAACCCTCCGTTTCCTCCAGGCCCCTTTCCCACTCCCCCAGGAGCACCCCAGGGGAATCCAGCCTTTCCCCCTGGTGGGCCCTGTCATCCCGTGCCACAACCAGGATATCCAGGATGCCAGCCCTCAGGTCCCTACCCCCCTCCATACCCACCACCTGCCCCTGGCATGTGTCCTGTGAATCCATTGGTTCCTGGTATAGTAGGACCAGGAATAGTGATTGACAAGAAGGTGCACAAGAAAATGAAGAAAGCTCATAAAAAGAAGCAGAAGCACCATAAACATGGCAAGGTAAGTGCCCCTGGAGCCTGGCTGGGAAGGGGCACCCTTCACAGGGGCTAAGCGGGCAGGGGGAGGGCAAGGGATGGGGGGTTTGAAGTCTGAGGATGTGGGACAGTGCGTAAAGGATCCCCACTGGGAAGAATCTGATCATCTTAAAAAATTTATTAGGCTTATTAGGCCTTCTATCTGAGAGGTGCTAGGCTGAGCCTCAGAATGGATGTCAGCGTCAAAAGTCTTTCTAGTTTGCCTTTCTCTTCCCAGAACTGCCCACCCCAGCCCCACCCCGTGCTTGTTTTAGCAAGTTGGACACACCCACTGAAGTGGTCAAATATCAAGTAATAGAGTCAGTTGTTTGACTAAGCAAACTCTTATATAATAATTAACTTGTAATAATCTGGCCCTAGGTCCTGGAGTTTCTTTCTCTCCTTCAGTGTTCTCAGGGTGTTGTGTTAGTTACATGGGCCCCATTATCCCACTATTCAGTAGGGAAACTGAGGACGAGAGAAGTCAGACTCTCAGCCTCTAATAAAACCCGAGTTTCATGCTCAGCCCCAAGGTTAAATATCTTCACTCCAGAGGACTGTTCATTGGCAAGGGTAAAAGTAGCTCTCAGGACAACTCTGGAAGGAGTGAACCAACCCCGATCTTGAGGAGGCCTTAATATACATTTTTCCGCCCAATATTTGCCTTATGACTTTGGATGCTAATTCTAGTTCTCCATCTTTGGTAGAAGTCTGAGGAGAAGAAAAGGTGAGCTTGAATGGAGACACTCAAAAATGTTTTTGATGACAGTTTTGGTGGGAGTATACGTGTAAAGAACCTTGACTAGTATTCTCCCAGCCTCCTCTCCCACCTTCCTCACTTTCTCTCAGTTGGGACTTAGGAAAAAGTAGAAATAGATGCACACACAGCTCCTGATTCTACTCACTTTTCTTTGTCTCATAGCCACTAGGAATGTCCATGCAGCTAATAAATACTATAAGGGAGCAGCTGTTCCTTGTACAGTTCTACTCTAGTGCCTATAATTTATTCCTTGCCTAGGCATTGGCTCAGGTAAAGAAAACTGGGAACTTTCTCCAAATGTAGTATGTTAAATTCTGTGCAGTGATTTAGGATGGTTTCATCCATTCCTGTATGCTCACTGCTGAAGGAAATCCTTGCTTTTGCTGTTTAAGGGACAGTTGAGTTGAAGACTCCTGACCTTCTTAGAAAGCAAAGGGCACTGGGGTGGAGGTATAGGGCACCAAAGAACGTCCCTGAAGTAACAAAAGTCATTTGGATCTGATGTATCCTTTCCCCTTTCCCCTTGCAGCATTCCTCCTCCTCCTCCTCTTCCAGCAGTGACTCTGACTGAATACAGGGCCTGGACCCTTCCCTCGAGTCTCTCCAGTTCAGCTCTCCCATCAAGCTTCAGATGCCATCTTGTGCTGGGGAAATTAACTCTTGCTACCCCTTCACCCCCACCTCTGCAATCTAAGCCTCATTCTGCTGTTCAGCGCTCACTAGCTAGGACAAATCGGAAAAGAATTGCCACGGGCTAACAAAGGCCGTCTTCTCACTGCTTGGATAGAACTTTTAGCTGATGAGTTTGACAGGAGAACTGTTTTTTGAAGATGGTAAGATTTGAGCTAAATGCTAAAGACAAGTCTAAGATCTGTAAAATGTGATTTTTTTTTTTAAACTTTCTTTTGTAACACTTATGATTGAGGAGATGCTGTGGACATTGAGTTATGGAAAGGAAAAACGACCTGTACCTTTCTTGTAATTGTAGCATGCTTGGGTGATTTAGTGGCAAATAAACATTTCCCAGCAGGCCTCTTATTGATGGCATTCACTGCAAGGCTGATGGCAAGTGGAGTCCATTTGGTTGATGAGCTCTGACTGCCATTTTGAAAACAAATCTCTGTTCTCTCACTCAGTATGCTGTCTCAGGCCCTCCTCTCACTCTCCACCTCTCAGTCCAAATAAAGCTGTTTCTCCTGGTCTCTGTTCACCTGTACCGTTACCTTGGTTGGGCCTAGCACCTTCTACTAGTTCTGCTGCCCTAGAAAAAAAATGAAAGAATAGATTTATCAAGTGGATGGTGGAGAGGAGCTGGGAAAGGCATGTGCTTAGGGACAGGGTCTAAAGCTCTACAGCATGTTTGGGAAACACAGTTCTCCCAGTGGGCCTAGATTAGTTCCCTGGAAAGTGTTTATTGAGGAAATACTGTGTTTTGGTGCTGAAAGTACAAAGACATAGAATAACACAGTCTCTGCCCTTCATGGCCTTTGAGAGCTAATGAAGCAGATGGTCGTGTGAATATATGAATAGATTATTATAGTATAGAAGTGAGTAAGACAGGGATTAAGTGGTGGGGGAGCAAAGGAGGGAGCGACAGTGCCACTGGGAAATGAGTGGGGTCCTGGCTGGGCCTCTGGACACATAGGGGTTTCCCTGTTATGTCTTCATGGCAGCTCCATGAGGTAGGTACTACTGTTCCTGTTTTGAGGAAGAAGAAAACTTCAGTCAGGATTTGAACTTGGGCAGTGTGGCTCCTGTGTCTGTGCTTGTAACCCAGTGGGTTTCCAGCAGAAGAAGCAGTTTTGCAGAGGCAAAGATTTGTAAAAAGGCAAAGGATGGACATTCAGAAATTCCTGAGCCTGAGATACCATACCAGAGCCTGATAGCAGGAAGTGAGGCTCTCAATGGGTTTAGAGGAAGGAGTGGACCTGAGCGATGTTTCTTAGGTGGAACCCACAGGGTTTAGGGATTTAAGTGTGGGAATTGAACAGGGAAGTTGTGTTTTTAGTTGACTGGGTTTCATCAGTGACTTGTCCTGGGATTGAGATATATGAAAAACATGCTTGAATATATTAGATCTAGCTTCTAATTTTATTAGGAAATCCAAGACCAAGCTGGAGAAGGAAATGGCAACCCACTCCAGTATTCTTGCCTGGAAAATTCCATGGACAGAGGAGCCTGGCGGGCTACAGTCCATGGGGTCACAAAGAGTCAGACACGATTGAGTGACTGAGCACCAAGACCTGTTTTCCAGTGTCCTGAATTTGGGGGCCATTCTAAGGGTTTCTTCCTCTGTAATACTCTGTTTTCATTTATTTATTAGCACTTCCTTTTCCAGGAGAAGGGAAAGGTGGGCATAAGGGGATTGTGAGGTGAAAAAAACAGTGTTGACAAACCACAAATTAAGGAGAGACAATGAGAAATGGCTCAAGGGAGAAAACACAAAGAGAAATAAATTAGGGAGAAAATTCACCCACCTCCTTCCCCAGTTTTAGCCATAAACAGCCCATTTCCCCTTCCTGCCTTTTCTTTTTCTAACAGCACCTTGCTATTTTGCTATGGTTGTTTCTCAAAAGTTGATTAACTTTTTGAAAGCTAAAAGAAATACATGTACCTGGGTGGGGGGGGATGTAACATTAATAGGATGTTCAGCAGAAAAGTAAGGTTCTCCTCATAGCAGATTTCTAATTTACTCCCCAAAGGCAACTATGACTACTAAATTCTTTTGTAAACTTTCAGAGCTGTTCTGCACATAAGTAAACATCCTGTTTCTACCTTACACGGTTCCTATTGCTCCTAGCCCACTTTATATCAAATGAGAGCCCTCTTTTGGATCTAATATTTTCCCATTTAATTATCTATTTTGGAGTTGATTCCATATCAGTGTGGGTGTGTAACATTGTTTTAATAGCATTTTATTCAATCTTTTTTTGTTGGAATTTTTAAATGTTTCCATCTTTGCTATACACTTAACTGCTATGGGAAACGTTTTGGTATGTATATCTTTGCCAGAGGTTGCAACATTGGTTGCTCATGGCTATTTCTGGCTATGGACTTTTTTTGTTTGAGGGACTACTCTGTTAATTTTCAGACCTTTTCAATAAAGGTTCAGATTTCACATTTCTGAAGACAAATTTCTGAACCACTACTGATCATTCCTTATAGATGGATCCTATATTCTCCATGGGCTTCCCAGGTGGCACTAGTGGTAAAGAACCCACCTGGCAATGCAGGAGGCATAAGAGACTTGGGTTCAATCCCCTGGAGGAGGGCAGGGCAACCCACTTCAGTCTTCTTGCCTGGAGAATCCCATGGACAGAGGAGCCTGGTGGGCTACAGTCCATAAGGTCGCAAAGAGTTGGACACGACTGAAGCGACTTAGGCAGGCATGCATACTCTCCAGTCTTAATCATCCTTTCAGCTTCCTGTTGCCTTTCTTCAGGCAAGTTACATTAGTTACCTGGCTCTCCAGGGCATTGGGTTGGCGCGCCCTGTTTTGTGCATCAGTGTAAGACTCTAAAGATAGTGGTTCTCAAATGTTTTTATTTTATGCCCTGTATCCATGAGAGAATCTGGAGTTCTACCATTCTGTCCTTACTAGAAACTGAGTGTAGTAAGAGTTCCACACAATTAATTGAAAATGGGAAAGGATAGGAAACTCATTAAATCTAAAATGCAAATTGACACTGCAGCTTTAGGACTGTAAGTCATGGGACAAATCATCAGTTTGCTGTCTTTCTGGAATCATTTCCCTGCATCAGGGTGTTTTATAGTCACAGACAAGTTTACTCTCTTGACTAGTTCGGTTCTTCTGAGAATAATTTATTAATTCATAAAACCATTGAATATTGCTATTGGATGCATCTCTTTCAAAGCTGGCTGCGACTGTTGGCTGGCCCCAACAGAAGCCAGGTTATTGTTAATAGAATTATGTTGTGTTATTTTCTTGTTCAGTCACTAAGTCGTGTTATTTTATCAACTTTTAATTTGATCTTTATTTTCTCTACCATTATTAGAGATGACTTCACAGATAGCCACTCACTTTATGTTTTTGCCACTCACTTTTACTCCAGCTCTTAGAGCTCTTGGGGTGTAAATGCAAAATCTTGAGGTTAATTTGACCTTCAGCCCAGGCCCTCACTGGGGCTTCCCGGGTGATTCAGTGGGTAAGAATCTGCCTGCAAAGCAGCAATAGACGCGGGTTCAATCCCTAGGTCAGGAAGATCCCCTGGAGAAGGTCATGGCATTCCACTTCAGTATTCTTGCTTGGAGAATCCTATGGACAGAGATGCCTGGTGGACTACAGTCCATGGGATCACAAAGAGTCTGACATGAAGTGACTGAGCAAGCTAGGCCTCATAGTAAGCCTGCTCTTGGGTTTGCTTTTCTCTGGGTGTCCTAACATTTTCCTACTTCCTTTACTCTCTCAGTATTTGCTCTGCCCTTTGCCTTTGTTAAATGACAGACTTCTTTTTATTTCTCACACTGTTCCTAATGCCCACCTATCATTTGGAGGGTGGCAGGAAAGACGATGGAGTCCCCAGGCTTTATTTTCCACTTCAGAAAGCTATGTCTCTTTAGATAACTCCCCTGAATTGAAGTTGCCCAATAAAACCTGATGAATATTAAGGCCAGAGTTAGTGAAGTCATCACTCAGTCGTGTCTGACTTTTTGCGACCCCATGGACTGTAGCCCACCAGGCTCCTCCATCCATGGAATTTTCCAGGCAAGAATACTGGAGTGGGTTGCCATTTCCTTCTCCAGGCCAGAACTAACACCCAAAGAACTTGAATGTGGGTAAACAATAACCCTGTAGTAGCTGTCTCTTTCAGTAGCCTTTTTTTTTTTTTTAAATTTAGTTTTATTCTCTTTCAGGTTTCTTCTCTATTTTTTGAACAAAAGTTTTAATGTGGAAATTTACAGATATGTACAAGAGTAGGGAAAGCAGATTTCCCATACCTAACTCCAGTAATTATTAAGTTTGTTCAGTTGGTTTGTGTGTGTGTATGTGTGTTTCACACACCCCAACCAGGGATCAATCCTGAAACCCCTGTAGTGGAAGCACAGAGACTTTTTTTAAGCATTTAAAAAATATGACCCAGCAATGCCTTGCTTTATTTATTCATTTATTTGGCTGTGCTGGGTTGTAGTTGGTGGCACATGGGTTCCTTGTTGCCACACACAGGATCTTCCCTGTGGCATGTGGGATCTAGTTCCCTGACTAGAGATGAAACCTGGGCCCCCTGGGAGCATGGCATCTTAGTCACTGGACCGGACCTCCAGGGAAGTCCCACACTTTGCCAATCTTGTTCCATTCCACATCATATTTTTTCCAATTTTTATTGTGAAAATTATTGTTATTTTTGGGCATGCCACACAACTTATAGGATCTTAGTTCCCTGACCAGGGGTTGAACCTGGGCCACAGCAGTGAAGGTGCAGAGTCCTAGTCACTGGAGCGAAAGGGGATTCCCTGAAAAATAAATAAATATACAAATTCCCTAAAAAATAAAAATTATTTTTTAAAAGTTTGAAGAACAGTACAATGATCACCTATAAACCTACCATCTGTACTCAACAACTGTTAACATTTTTACCAAATTTGCTTTATTGATATAATGATGTGAAATATTTGAAAGTCTGTTCCATGCATCATGACCCTTCACTTTAAATAGTTCATCACATACCTCTTAGAACAGCATTTCTCCTGGATAGCCATAATTCCATTACCACACTTAAGAAAATTAACAATACTTCCTAATATTAGCTAATATTCATGTCTGAATTTCCTCCTGTCTCCAAAATGTTTTATATAACTATTAAAAAAAAATCCAAATAAGATCCACACATTATATTTGATTATTATTGTCTTTTGAATTTATCCTCTTTCCTCCCCCTCTATTACATTTTCATTTTGATGAGAACAGGCTAGTTGTCTTGTTGAATGTCTTGGATTCTGGATTTGCTGATTATCTATGATATATTTAATTTTTTCCTTGATTTCTTGTAAATTTCCTGTAAATTGCAAGTTGGGTCTGAAGGTTTAATTAGATTAAGATTAAACACTTGAGAAGAATATTTAATAGATAATGCTATGTATTTATTGCATCTCATTAAGGACTATGTCACAGTTGTATTATTACTGATACAAGGTTTGATCACTTGGATAAGGTGGTGACCTATCTGATCTTTCCATTTAAA